AAACTGTGCGCAATTTTGAAATAGTGATTTGAAATAATAGTTGACTTGACCAATGTTTACAAGAAAATTTTTATAAATTGAAAGTGAAAGTTAGAGAAAAACTGCAGGATCTTAGCTTTATTGATATTTAACTTTTGAAATTTTAGTTTAATGTTATCATGACAGCACCTATGTGTATACATAAAAAGTATTCCGTTGCCTTTATCATTTTCTCATATTCGCCATTTGTCTTTGTGTATTTTTCGTTATGACAATAGTATTCCGCTGTGGATAACTTTCCCTTTCTCGATATTTCAAATTTGACCGAGCCTCTGTTTTCTTTAAGAACGCCAAAGTTATTTGAGCTATACTGCAGCAGGTGTGTTGGTATATTTTCAGGAAATGCAAACTTGATTGATGCCTGTCACACAGGCGTATGGTCTGCCTTATTGCAGCACTACAAAAACAAGAACTGCTTTATTGATCGTTCAAAAGAAAATCAGGATGAAAATGCATCTAACTCTGGCTCATATTAAAAAAATATCAATTGCACCAAGTTCCCGTTTCTGAGTGAGTTCCATACATTCCTAAAAAAAACTTTGGATGGAATAAATCTATAAGAAACATTCAAAACAGAGGCGTATCCACGTTTTGGTCGTTTATAAGGAGCTCACTAGAATATTTTATATTTTTATATAATTAACTCACCTTACGTTTAACTATTCCGGATGTTGTGAAAACGGTTAAAAAAAGCAAAACTGGATCGAATTTGAGCTTAGCATTTTAGTTTAAATTTATTAAGTTCGCCATTAAAAATTGTACATTTTCAAATGACTGGTAAAAGTTACAGAACATTTTACATCTTATTCACATCCTACACATAGAGCATGCAATATAATTATTTTACTATCTATATTACAATAATCAATTTATACCTAAATTACTACAAAACTATCTTAGTTGAGAATTAACAAGTAAATCAGACTCAATCGTCCTGGTAATTTATACCCTTGTTCATATTTCTTGCTTTTAAAATCATGCAGTTTCTGCTTAAAGAAAATTATCGATAATGTTTCTATAATTTTAAAAGATCTAGGCAATTTGCTCCCTAAGGAAACAACTCAATTAATGGACCGATGTGGATTTGTTTCAAAACATCACTTCTTTTGCAGCGACGCCACCTTATTCTTTTTTAAGTTGTCGAGCAAAAGCGTGAAAGTTTAAACGTAAATCCTCTTTAGTTAAATGATTTACTTCCGCAACGAGGTAGGCTGAAGGCAGACTTTCAGGAAAACAGTTTGAGTTAAAACATGAACATTAATATTTTACGTTGTTATATTTTGGAAAATTTAAATGTGATTTCTTATCGCTCTCAGTATTTCTGTCGTTGCTCAATTGAAACATATTTTTTAGAACGAAATGATTGAGTTTGTTCTAAGATTTTCTAGAAGACAATGTCTTTTTAATTTGTTCACGTACATTGGGTTTCAAACATAGAAAAAAAACGCTCAGCCTCACTATAACAAATTGAGACCATGCCCACACTAGTGAGTTTTTCTTTGAAAACGCATTCTTTGTAATGCGTTCTTGCCTTCCGTCTACATTGAAACGTTCAAAAATGGATACACGGCCAAATGAAAACACACCGATTCGATTCGAAAACGCTGTCCAAAGTGGATAAATTTCAACACGCATGCGTTTTGTTTTAATGTGGACAGTCAAAAACGGAGCGTTTTGAAAAATGATGACGTCAATGACGTTCTGAAATGGCGAAAATGGCACTCGATGTCACATCAACCGTGGGCGTTTTTGAATAAGCATGTGCAGTTAAATATATCACACATTCGTCGTTTTCAAGAGTTTTTGTGTGGACAACTGAAAACGCTATGAAAACACTGGTGTGAATGAAATAAAAAAGATGCATTTTTATTTCGATGAAAATGGATCGTTCAAAAACGCATTAGACAGGGTCTGAATCAACCACACACCCCTGTTTTTCCTGAAAATTAATGTTTTTTCCAAGAAAATACTAAAACTTGCTAAAAGTAGCTATATAATTTCTTTTCGCAGTTTGTTTTCTGCAATAGTCAGCAATGAAGCATCTTACATTGCCAGGCAAAAGCAAAAGACACCTTCAGTGCAAATAAATTATGGTCGCCAAATGTCAGCAATTTTATACAATAACGTACGTACATCTCTTGAATTATTTAGTTCTAAGGGCTGTTCATATGAGCTCGGGTTAACAGAGAGTCAGTGAGGCGTTGAAAGGAGGCAAAACTTAAAGCTTAAAAATCACAACTGTTTGTTTTTTTGCCACAAGTCATTCCAGTTAAAATTCTTAAACTACGCCGAACTGGTTGTTTCAATTTTAAATTTTTTGCGTAGTTATTAAATCACAAAATAGTGAAATTGCTGGAGAAGATTTATCTGATGATAATTAAAGAATCGTTTTTATGTGCCAAAATCATTTAACGCCTTATTGTATCCTGGTTAGCCGTGCTCATATGAATTAACAGCTCCTAAACGTAAGAAAATACACTTTGGAGCAAGCCAGTTTGGTACACCTGTTGCCATCAACCAGTTTGTCTCCGGATGGATTAGGGAATTAAATTTAAGAAAATTTGAAGAAACAAATGTGGCATTTATGTCGGGAATGGTAAGTTTAAAAAACTTTCTTTAGATGTAAATTCATTGACAATTATGTTTCTAAAGTAAATGGTTTGAACCCGGGAGTATCGTTACATGTTTGAAAATGTAGATCGTCCAGGTTGGTATAGTCCTGAGAAGGGCTGTTTTTGTTGTTGTTGACTGACGTTTCGACAACCTTAGCGGTAGTCATCTTCAAAGTTACTAAGTGCCACTTATCAGAAAGATCGATTGTAGTGAAGTGAAGAACACAACAGAAAGTTTAAAAACTACCCTATCCTCACTTGACTGGAGTATCTTAAACAAAGCTCTAGAAAAAAAAACCAAACACCTACAAAAGACATTTACCACACATTGAAAAAAACTAAGAAATCTCACGAGGAACTTAGCTCCACCATTTACGCACAACGAAACGATAACTAATCTATCATCACACCAATTAAAAGGCGAAGAACTAGAACTCTTGAAAAATGGCCTTGGGTTCAGCCTTAAACCACTGCGACTCAACTCAACCAACATTCTGGCAACATTCGAAAAAATCCACCAAACTATAAAAAACGATATTCGCAATCAAGAAGTCTACACGCATCTCAAAACAGAGTTGGCACACATCGCTCACTCGTGCATCTCATCTTATTAACCGACACCAGCTGATTTAACAAAACGTTGCATCCTTAAAAATATTCGCAACAATCCAAACATCATTCTCAAACTGGACAAAGGCAACGGCGTTGTAATACTGGATCGTCAAATAAATCGTAACTTCTGTCTTAAATTCATTAACAATACAGCAATGTTCAGCCCACTCAATGAAGATCTCACACTATCACGTGAAGCCAAACTACAACGACTGTTAAGGAAACTTCGAAAGAAAGGCTCAATTAACAGCCAAGTCTAAAATGACATCATCTCCGAAGTTTCTCAACCTTCACGCTTCTACGGCCTACCTAAACTGCACAAGAAACGAGAACCATAACAATCACCTCCACTATAACCGATAGTTTCATCAATTAATTCATACAATTATATCCAGGTAAATATCTCAGTTTTCCACTAACACCACTAATACCAGATGACCACTCCACTAAGCATTCTTTCACTTTCCTCGACGAATTCTCATTTTTCAACTCATAAACTTCCGACTAACTTAGGGTAAGTGTTTCATTGCGTTATAATTATGCATGATGTTGAAGGCAGAGAAACAACGATTTTAATTATTATAAAACATTTCCATGTATTAAAATTTATATTAACAGAAAGCCCTTACTGCGGGCTATCTAATGACGTTATTTGTTTCACAAAAGCTTTAGTACTTAATGAGATATTTTTGATAAAACAATCACTTCCGGAACATATGTGTTATTAAAAAATGCTGCATAAATATTCGCCGTCGCCAAAGAGTTAATAGGGAGTTTTAGCAGAGCCTACGAGTACGACTACGAGTACGATTTACGTCATTTTGGCGCGTAAGCATTGTTGCGACAACAAAAACACGTAGCCGTCATCAATCTGAGTACGATGTTTTGTAAAAAAATCGTAGTCGGGACTACGATGTCTTTTTAAGGAAAGAAAGTAGGTATATTTCTTCATTCTGTAAGAAATTAATTTACAGTACTATTTTCAAGCATCCAGGCTTTAATTTAGAACCCTTTTTGAGCGCAGATGTACATTAAAAAGGAAAATACGACCTGCAAAACTTTCATGTATTTCGTACGCAAAGTGAAAGGTAAACAAACAATAAAATAGTGCAAATATATCGTACATAAAATTTAAAATAGTGAAGATTTTTCAGTCTAAAGAGTCCTATATTCTCGCAAAATCAGTATTACTGATTCGTTGATATCATTATTGACAAATAGAGCCGTAGCTGCTTCGGAACGTCGGTGTTATACACAATAAAAAGGCTCGTTCTGTTGTTTACAGCTAAAACAAAATTTTGACGAAGCGATAACGACAACAACCTTCCTCGTGCCATTCCCTTACACGGTCAAATTTCGTACTCGTTCTCGTAGTCGTACTCTTGCTAAAACTCCCTAATAGAGTCATTTAGCGAACACTACGTTTTCGTATAAGACGTCATTAAATGGCGTGCGCGCGCCTTTTACTTCCGGTTCAAACTAGGCGGCAGTCGTGTTTACGACTACGACGTAAAAACATATAATGTGACGTCGTATGGACGGCGGCTGAAACAAACTCAATTTTTGGACAGAAACAGGGATATATCTTTCATATTTGTATTGTACAATATTATATTGGCCTACATATATTTATCTAAAGTAAAAACTGCAAATGTTTTGTTTCTTAAAGCGTAAAAAAGCAAAGAAATAAACATTGCGGTGCGTAATCTGATTTTGGGGGTTTCTTCGGAGACAAAATTTTAGTCAAAAACAATTTTAATGAGGAGTTTGCTTAACGGTACAGTATTGCTATGAATTTGTTATGAATTGTTAAGCAGTAAAATTTTACAAGTTAAAGTAACTGCTTTTTAATTTGTGTTTAGTATTAATTAAATGGAAAATTTCAAGAATGCTTTTTGCCATCCACTTTTTTGCGTGAAGTTGTCTCGTAGACGTCGTTGACAATTTACCTATCAAAATATAAAAAATGGGGATTTTGTGCTCCTATAATAGTATTTCGTATGTACTATTCCATGAATAATGTGTATGATTTCATACAAATATTTTTTAGTATGGAAATTATCATATGCCCAAAATCAGCTCAACTATACTTTTTGTCCACCCATATAAACATATATATATATAGCTATATTGCAATTTTATAGAATTATTTATTATTACAGGTTATCCGACACAAACATTTCAAATTAAAAATCGAATTCTTGAAATGCGTTGTTTTCCTGCACATGTGTTGACAATTTACGTGAATTCATTGTCACCAGGAGGCAGAAAATAAATGTCAATATGGTTTCTATTAATGGAATACGATGCTATACGTACAAGCATCTAAATGGTTAATAAAGGTAAGCAGTTCCGTTGTATTAAATCAGCTTAATTCATCACGTTCAGTATTACGCTCATGTTGATCATTTGACGTGTATTCACATTCTTCATTACCAAAAAAACATATAAAAACTACGTCACTATATTTTTTATTCATCCCATAAAACGTAATGCGCAATTCTTTAAGACCGTCAGTCAAACGTAGCTACTGCAGTACTGCCCAGTAGAAGAGAGTCAGATCGAGCGAGAAAGATATCTCTTGCGACGTAACAAAATCAAATTTATCTGAACGGTTCAAGAGTGGTAAGTGAGCATCCTTCATTCTTGCTTGTAACCCGAGTACTACATATGATAAATAGTATGCAGCCTTCCAATGTTTGATTTCTCATTTTGGCACTTCACATCGTGAAAATGAGGTGAATTTGTTAAACTTCGAATTCATTGAGTTCTCCTTGGTGGTTTGATGAAATATTTTACATTTAATAACATATGTTTCCTACTGCTTGCTTTATGTTCCGGAAAAAACAATTGTGAATTTGCAACATTCACGCATAATAACAAACTAATTAATAGCCATTTTTGAAAAATGTTTTCTTAGCAGGGAAAAATATTTGTAATACGTCGTAAATAAAATGTTTTCCACAAATCCACTGATTTGAATTAGATTAAGTAAGCGCATTTTTAATTTGCAAAAATCATGTTAAGCAATTGCAAATTGAAAGTTCATGCAGAAAGTTTAAAGTAGCTAACGTTCGGTGATTTGTAATCTGTCTTTCATGAAGAATGCCAGTTTTTTATCTAATCATGTTTAAGGTTGCTTGAATATATTTTTTGTTTCAAATATGCTTTTAAAACAGACGCAGATTTCCAGTGAATTCTTTTAGTAGCAAGAGCGATGTGCGTCAATTAATTAACACACATAAGCATGTTTTGCTGTAGTATACTACTAATTTTAAGGTTTGTAAGACATATAGAGTACCAGTGACCGATCTAGTGTACGTCAAAATAAATAATCGTTACACAATTTTACATATTTTACATATCGAGAAATTATGTTTACACTTGTTGCTATTCTACCTGTTTTCTTATAGAATTGTCGCTGAAATTTGTTGATCTCGCTTAGCAAATTGAATTGCACTTTAATTGATTTGCAGTTTAAAAATTTAAATAGAAAGAATTATGATATTTACAGAAAATTTTGACTGATTTTACACTGTTATCAAATAACAATTCAGTCTTTGACTAACTCTCAACCACTCAACTTAATTGAAACTCTGAACTGCAAATTCTGAACTCTTAACTAAATTTTACCTTTATTCGTGCAAAAGGTTTCGTGAAAAGGAAATAATAACTTTCGTGCAAATGTGACATCAAAATATAAGAAAGTGAAATTACATGCAAATAATTAGGAATCAATGAGTACATACTTGTTTATCCTGTAAAGTAAAGGTAAACTATAAAACACACCTTAGTTTTATCATGCAACTCAAGGTCGTATAAAATAAAATGCAGCATGAGTGGAGCGATTTAAGCATTGGTTGGCTTATGCAGAAAAAATCAGTTTATTTTCGATGAAATAGATGGTGATAAACAACACATAAACCATGCTGACTACGTTAATGATTGCAATAGCAAGCAAATCGGCAAAAAGTTTTTCAAATTTTAAATTCCTTTTCTCATGATACTTTCAGTTTATCCTGCAAAAGATGACATATTTACTTCTTATATTTGTTATAATCTTATGTTTACCAAGTTTGGCGCTGCTGGTAAATAACAAAAGTAAGAATATTCTGTATTTATTCTATTTGTCAACTAGTCTATACTCATTTTTTAAAACCTTTTTCCTTGATAAAGATTGCGTCCATGATGATGATTGCAGGAAAGGCCAAGGATGCTCAGATGCGGGAAATTGTGTGTGTAAAAGTGGAATAAAATCAGACGCTGCATCATGCCCACCACGTATGTGTTGTTTGTTTACCTTATATATAAAATGTTCAATATTGTTGCCAGTGAAGTGCCAGGCGGGAAGCGGATTCTCAATATAAATATTAGAGCCCAACAAATAGTTTTAAACCTAGTCATAAACTATTTGGTTTTATGAAATTTATTGAAAGAGTGACGTTTCGTCTTTACTTAAGACATCTTCAGACTAATTAGGAAGTTAACAAGAATTATAGATATATATAGAGCTATTTTTATAGTTTCAGGTATCAGATTACATTGGATGTGTAAGTGTGATGTAATGTATTGTTAGGGTGAGACTAGAAAAGCTTAAGAGGGATGAAGCTGCCTTGGGTGTTAATTGAAGGTTTTAGTTTGGAGATGAGGAGGCTTTCGTGGATCATGATGTAGTATGTGTCGGAGAAGGATGAGATGATTTTAAAATCGTCTAGCGAAGCAAGGTAGTTGGAGGAGTTACTATGAGAAAGAATACTTGACATAAATTGGTTAGTATAGCGTTTTCCAGTCAAAGGAGAGATCCCCAAGTGTTCCAAGATTCTGGTGTGTAAGGGGCGTGTGGTTTGACCCACATACGACGCGGAACAGCATCGACACGTGTATAAATACACAACACTATATCTCAGAGGCTTGGGAATTTTATCCTTAACGGGAAAAAATGAAGAGATTCGTGTGGGGGTACGAAAGACGAATGTGGCATTCAGATGAGGGAAAACAGCGTTGTAGAGACGATTGATATAAAGTGTTAATATCAATTATTATTCGAAGCACTTAATTTTGCTCTTCCGTTTCTTAAACCGAGTTTTATCTTAATGCTACATCTATTTCAAATGACATACAGTTTTACCTACTAGACTATCCTTTCATTAATCTACACAGGAAAGACTATATCTCTTTTTCTTAAATCGATTGAAATGCAAAGAAGCTTTAAAGCAATGCTATGAATAAAATGTATTAACAGTGGTGGATCCAAGATCTTATTCACGTTGGTCAAAATCAAGCGAACGCCAAATACGTCACCTTCGGTGCTCGGAATCTAGGGGGTCCAGGGGTGTGCCCTCCCGGAAAATTGTGAAAACTTTAATGTCTGAAATGGATTTCACGCGTTTTAGCAGTCACTTCAGCCATTTTACTGACAATTCTTACTTTCCTGAAAGTGAATCAAATTTTTGACTAACGAAATGTAATAGACAGCATAGACACAAAATCAGTAACTACAATGACTGTTTAACCCAATATCAGAGCTAACCAGCATGGCTAGGAAGATAAGAATCACAAAGAAACATTGCATGTCCCGCATGGACAGCCTCTAGTATTTGAGTGATTTCATAATTGCATATATGGCTCATGCATATGTATACAATAAAATATTTTGTGAAATATGAGTCATCCCCCATGTGACATGTAAACACAGGTAGTATTTGGGCGATTTGATAATAATCTAGCTCATGTATATGTATACAGAAAATATTTTGTGAAAATATGAGTCATCTGACATACAACATGTATACACAGTTAATATTTTAAGCCATTTGATATCAATAAGGCTTATGTATATGTATATAGCAAAATATCTCGTGAAAATATGGGTCATATCACATGCAACAAGTATATACAGTTATTATTTAAGCGATTTGATAATAAAATGACTCATGTATAAATATAAAGAAAATATTTTGTGGAAATATGAGTAATGTCATATGCAACATGTATAAACAGTTAGTGTTTAAATGATTTTATAATATAGCTCTTGCATATGTATACAGAAAATATATTGTGAAACTATGAGTCATTTCTTATGGGACATGTAGATGTACACATTTAGCTACGTATTTGAGAGATTTGATGATAATGTGCCTTATACAACAGAAATACACATGGATCATGATAACATACATACACGTTTTTGTGCCTAAGAGTTATGAAGTCATGCCGATTATAACAAATTTAGTAGTAAATGTTGAACAACACTGATCAACTACACATGTAAATACATGTCATCAACCCTTTGCAATACTAATTTATGTAAACAGTATTATTCTGCACAATTGTTTACAAATTTTATAAGCAATATTTTTCAGCACAGCTTCTGTAATTAGCCTTATGTCCAATATTTGTATATAGAATATTGATTACTAAAGCAAATCACCCTGCAATTTACTTAAAACTAGTATTTTTTCCTTGAAATAAGTTTTGAAGAATTTGCAGTGCAGAGATTGAGCAAATAGCTACTAACAAATAGAATATTTTGTACCTGACCGCTGTATAATGTAAGAGGAGTAGGATGAGATTTCGATTTCAAGAAAGACAACAAAGCTATCGACGTTAAGTCGTTAACGAAGAAGCTTCTAATTCACCAGAGCCAAATACGGCTTATCGTCAAGAATTGCCACAGTGTGTACAAATATTTTTCCTTTCAAATGTGGACTCATCCAAAAGTAATATGTTTGAAATTCTAAATGGCTAGTCAATCAAGGAATCGAGCAGTGTTTCCATACAAATACATTGACCATAGCAGTGACCGGGTCAACTCAATACTCCAGCAATGAAATAGCGCTATTAAGAAAACCTTTCAACACCTTATGAAATACATATTATGAAAATCTTAAGCACCTTAAAATACATCCCTTTTTTTCGCTGAGTCGCAAAGCGTATTGTAAAAGATCATTTTAAATGGCAACAAACTCGTGTTACTATTACCTAAAACAACTTGAGAATATCCAGTAAAAAAGCTGTACTAGAGCTGCCGCTTCGTTTATTTTTGAAAAATAAAATGTGTTATCGCACGTAAGCTGAAGGAAAGTTGGAGAAAATTCAGCTTTTTCCGTAGCCTAGTATAGTTTATGCTCAACAGATATGCAAAATAAAAACATGCATTTTAAATGCGTAAGTTGGATACATACCTTTTTTATTTATATCATTTATAGAGTGCACCAGTAACGTTGATTGCAACTCAACGTCACTAGTATGTCAAGGAAATAAATGTGTGTGCAAAAACGACGACACTCCGGTTTGGGATTGGAGACGTCAATCCTGTCGAGGTGAGCTTTCATCGCAGTTCTTTATCGGATGGGCATTTACTTCATTTTTCCGCCAATCATAAGTTTTTGCATTTTCTTTGTACGAGATGTTAGTAAAACTGCAAATCATTTTAATCATTTTGGTTTTTTGCATTTTCTTTGTACGAGATGTTAGTAAAACTGCAAATCATTTTAATCATTTTGCTTTTTTGCAGAAAAATTCTGTTAAACTGATGTTTAGTTGAACGAAATTGTTGATTGACGGGTTTTTTAAACATGTATTTTCACTGCGTGCACATTTTTTTAGAAAATATAAAACTGTATTATCCAATAAGCTACATTTACTTATAGTTTTAGTTGTTTGTTCTTGCTATGCACTTAACAAATATCCGCTTAAAGATGAATTGATTCTTATGTTCTGGCTATTCAGAATTTTTACAGAGTGTTCAAAAAATGCTCGTCTTTAGAAGCAAGCGACGTAGAGAGCATACATGATTCTGCAGTACCGTCTTATTTGACTTCATAAGAGTTTTTAAAGTTAGTAAGAGTATTGACATTTAAGTAGTATTTGAAATGTGGCGACTGTTTATTGAAAATTTCAAAAAAAGAGCATACATACATTAAGAATATAATAATTCAACATGAGTGGAAATTGCGAAACAAGAAAATATGTAGAAACATGAACAACTAAGGGCGACGAGTTAGTAGCAACTCAGTTTCTGTTTTAAAGTTTCTCTTCTTATTTAGGTTGCTATGACAGTGAAGAATGTGGTGAATACCATGAATGCTTGAAACAAAAATGCGAATGTTATACGGAGTTTTACCATTTAATTAATGGAGAGTGTGCAGGTGAGGACTTCTTAAAAAGAGCAGCGTCACGCTGCGCGCATCCTTTCTGCGCATAGTAAAAATTATTTGGCAATTGATGGAAACTGTTCGTATAATGTAATTCGCGATTGTATAAACATATAATTTGCAACTACTAACAAAGCAGGTATTCAAAGGATATTTAGTTATGAAAGCAAATTCACCAGAGCGTTTTTCAAAATTTAAGCATTACTGTATTGTACTTTGTATTTCAAATTGAACGATATACGGTGTCAAATCACTTCTGTACTTCATGGATTATTCTAGAACACTCTATTCCTGAAACATCTCCCATTTCACGCAGATTACAAAATTTACCGTAATAAATTATATTATTGTACTGAACACAGTAATGTGCTTATATAATAGAACCAAATGTTGCCGCCATATATAATTTGCTCACTTGAAAAAGTACAAGTGGAGAATTTTGCGATGAGCTGCAAGGGTGCGCATGACATGACATTGCTCCATTAAATTGGAATTCTGTAGCAAACTTAGTGAGACAAAAAATTTAATCATTTTAAACTTACGTATATTTTTACTTCATTCCTATGTGTTTCTTTTCTTACTTTTTATTAAAAAATATCTATTTCTGAAGGACATCATTTATAATGATAATGTGTTAAAAATAAATTTGTTACTTTTATTAACCTAAATGTTATTAAAAAAAATTGTTTTGAACAAATAACTTGCTTTAGGCTTTGTCTTTAAGATATTGTAGAATTTTGTGTTATAGTTTTGTAGTGGTCAGTTTTCTCACACGTCTACCTCCATTCATTTGTAAAAACAATAAACAACAAATTTTTTGCTGAGGTGGAAAAGTAAACTGCATGTCGTCGATGAATTTAAACAAACAGCCTTGGTCCATTCGGCCAATCTGTTTCTATGTTGAATCTAAGTAATCAATTATCTATTATGTAAGGTGTCTCAAAAAAACATGTTTATCTTTGAAATCAGTGGAATCATAAAACTTTCATAATCTGGACGTAATTGATCTCCAAAGACCTGTAAATGCAATTGAAAACAATAATACATGCAAATTGCAGCTAATGTCTTGCTTTTATTCAATATTCCAATTTCGTTTACGTCTCCTAGGGGATTATACTCCAAACATGCAAATTTTAATTGTTAGCTGATTTCAATTATGAGAAGCTGTTTTGAGATAGCATGCATTTAGCAATTTCAGGCCCGTTTTAAAGGACGAATTTTATATAAGCCGAGTGCATTTAAAACAAAAGATAATGAGGAAGTTCGTCTCATTTTCTTTTGTCTTTAATGCTTTTGCGCAGGTAAAGTTCGTCGTTTAAAACCTTTGCTCTGGATCATGATCTACATGAAGACAAACGCACACTATGACGTCAAAAATGGATGATTTGAATATTTAGCTGAGTTCATCCCTGTGCAAATAAAGACCACCAAAGACCTAGTTAAGGCGGTCAAGCCCACTTTGCTATTATCGAAAGAAACGCGAGCAGACTGCTTGCCTGTTTAGTTTAGGAGTTTTTTCTATTTTATTATATAAAACAAATAGATTATTATAAATGCTCTTTATGATATTTGTTTAAAAAGTGACCACTCGTGTCGTCATAGCAACTTTCACTTCCGTTTTTTTTATCACAAATGACCTCATACCTTGTATAAATTACAAAACAATTAGTTAAATGTAATCTCTTAATTTGTTAAACCTAAGCGTTATATTAATTGCTAAATTATGTCAAGACATTTAATTTGCCTGACCTGATACTTGTATTCTTTTAAGCAATTGTTGCAAGTTGCAAAATCTTTAATAAATTTATTTATTACAGCTTGCAAAACGAATGGTGATTGCGGTCAAAATAGAATTTGTCTCGACAAAGCAGTTACCACTCCGCAGAAATGCATATGCGCAACTGGTTATATTTGGAATTTAGACGATTTTAAGTGTAAACGTGAGTAGAGTTTGATCAAAAACTTCCATACACAAAAAGTTAAAGAAATGAAATCCTTAATTACCTTTATTTTGAAATTCAACTTGCAAAATATGATAGTATGGGAAAGCCAGATGTGTTTGTAGGTTTCAATGGATAAATTCTGTTATTCTAAAGTTCTTTTAGTCTGTATTCGCTCTCAGTATAGAATTTTAGAATTTCAGAGTTTGTGTTCTTGAAAAATATTTTTTTGCCTCAGATATTTATATCGACTAAGATAATTTAGACATATTGTGAATTTGTTTGTTATATGTAAATAAACATATAACATAAATTTCCCTTTCATAAAGTATCTTCTAACTTTCCTATTCTTTATGAGTATGTGAAAAATGGAATCTTATTAATGAAACTGTATTTGAATTTAAAAATAAATCCCCAATTGAGTCGCAAATTATATATTTTTCATACCTTTACTAAATTTTCTGCTGCATAAATTATTGCTGATAACAAAGACATGCAGCTTTTTTTGAATATCTCGCTTAACACCATTCGATTGCAAAATATTTCTACTCGATACTTTTACCTTAATTCCTTTTGTTTAGCAATATCTTGTGCTAATAATCCATGTGGGGGCGTCTCTGAGTGCATTGATGAACCAAACATGGAACAACACTTCCGTTGTGTTTGTCCCGAGGACCTATTTGGAGATGGATATCACTGTCATGGTATGACAACACTTAAATTTTGCTGGAGTTGATAACTTTCTTCAAAAGCTCATTGGATTTGTCTGGTATATACATACTAATTGGGAGGTTTCTGCTGATAATTATAACATACTGTTTAATAATTGCATTTTAACTAAAACTTACGTAAATTTCAATTTGATCAAAAATATGACTTGGTCTCTGATCTCATCAAAGAGTCAGTCACTGAAGATCATCAGTTATTGCTCCCAAATGTTCTTAAAAACACAAAAGCAAGTTTTTCTGAGTCATTTATATAATCATGAACACTCTTAGCACTTATTATAGACTAAGATAAAAAAAACTGCGGCAATTCCTTTCAAGTTGGTGCAAGTAAATAAAGTACTAATTTTTAAGGTAGTTTTTCGTTAAAAAAAGCGCTAAACACAATTGATATACGTGCAGTGATATAATGATGACAACAGTGATTATTTGAATCATGAGGCGTATGCATATAGCATATGGACAAAGTTAAAGCAACAAAGGTGTGCGTATTACCATGTTACTAAAGCAGTAATAAACAACGAGTGGGTCATTGCTCAATATTGACATTTCATTAACTGTCAAAATATGTATATTATTTACAATGTTTGACACTTGTCTACATAATGTTGGCTTCATGAAAGTGTTTTAATTGGTAACTAAAGGCTGACGACAAATGAATATAGACTACATAAACTGCATAGTGTAGAATTTCCATTTTGCTAACAACTTCTTAAAGAAACGTTAGAACGTCTCACCAGTCACAAGCGCACATTTACCCTTTCGGTACACCTGACGTCGTTCTCCAAATTCTGCTGTTTACATAGATTTTTTGGGCCTTTCAGACTCACCTTGCTACAATTACCCATGCCATAACGGTGGGACGTGCTTAAAACAGAACAACGGATATTCTTGCTTGTGTCCAATAGGATTCACTGGAGGACAATGTAAAGAAGAATTAAAAAAAGGTATTAAAACCATTTTGAGTGTTTTCTTGTAAAAATAAATTTAAAAACATGTACTACAATATTTCTAGATGCAATTTTACTTTACTCGGTCCGAGACCTTAATCTAATGCCCAATTGAAGTCCTTTGACTATTACTCAAAGTTAATGTTTTTGAGAGAAACTGTAAGGAAATAGTCTCGTGTTAAATGAATGTACTCAAGTGTTGACAGTATTCCAAACTTAAACTATCATCAGTAGAGCTGGCAAAACGATGATAGGAGTTGAGAGTATTCATAAATGCCTGCTATAATCCTTTGAAAACAATAGATTTCAAAGGAACTTAATATAATTTATCAAATGAAAAAAAAATATCTTTAATGCAGTCTATGCAGCCAGGCGTTTTTGTAAGAAAAATCCACTTGACACGAGCACAATATGCGCATGCAAAGTGTCACCAGTCCACTGCTTATAGTAACTGTAGGGAATCTATCAAATTTGTTAATACGTTTTGCGCATGCGTAACTTAGGGCTTTTCTTGGAGAATTTGGACGTTACCCTTTTTTTCACTTGACACCAGGAATCTTTACTTTTCAGTGTAAAGAAAAGTAGTTTACGTTTTCACGCCATATGTGATGCACAAATATGATATTTTGCACGTAAAGCAGGCTAAGTGGCTACGACTGTATTTCTGAATGATGGTATCAATGAATTGATAAAATTAATTTATTAAGATTTAGGACACATTTGTATGAGAGAAAAATCTTCTCAGTTTTGCATTTTATGTAAGATAGATTTGGATGAGGGTTTTTTTGTCTGACCTTTTTACGTACATGGTTTTCCAGGTTGGTATAGTCCTGAGAAGGACTGTTTTTGTTGTTGTTGACTGACGTTTCGACAACCTTAGCGTAGTCAAATGAAACTCTGAAGATGACTACCATTTGACTCTGAAAATGACTACCGCTAAAGTTGTCGAAACAACAGTCAGCAACAACAAAAACGGTCCTTCTCAGGACTATACCAACCTGGACGATCGACATTTACAAACATGTAACGATACTTCCGGGTTCAAACCATTTACTTTAGTACATGGTTTTATGTTTTGCTGTTTTGTTAAGCGAATTTTTTGGTTTGGTTCAACAAATTTGTTTTTCCTGGAAAAAAACTTTTAGCAAACAAAATGTTTGCAAGCCAGTCAAAGTGTGCTATTATTACCCAAGAGACATTTTCCTTAAAATAATTATTGTTTTTATGGTTTTTCAACTGTAGACGTACTGAAAATCTGTTGTAAATAGCACTTGCATTTGAAAAACAACTTTGACAAGGCGCGCGTGAACTACAATTTGAACATTATACATACATGCATAAATAACACATAGAATAGCCTTCAGTAGGTTTGCCTGTGTCAAAGAGGGTGTGTCTGTTAACTAAAAAACTGTTATGTCATTTGTACATTCAAATGTTACAATCATCTATGTTTTCAATGTAATTTCATCTGAAAGTACTCGAAAAATTGACATTTAAGTCCTAAGTTCGCAATTGTCTACGTTGCTAAGCAAGATGGTTTTGAAGCTTTGTAGTTATATATTTCTCTTTCAGCGAATTCACTATGAAATAAATAAAATTCCTGAAAGATTTAGGGCTGTAAAAGGCTCTCAGAAAACATTTTATGCTTAATTGGATAACTATAGATAAAACATTACACTGGTGCCAAAGAGATGAAGAGTGTTTGTATGGTGGAACTTGTAATGGCAGTGAATGCATATGCCTCAACGGTCACTCTGGACCTTTTTGCGAAGGTAAAAGTTACTTTTATATACTAATAACCAATTTCGATTAAATGAACACTTTTCTAAACATGATTTAAGTTGTCATGTTTGTAAATGTAGATCAAATGGTAGTCATCTTCAGAGTCATTTTGGTTGTCGAAACGTCAACAACAACAACAAAAACAGTCCTTCTCAGGACTATACCAACCTGAACGATCTACATTTACAAACATGTAACGATACTCCCGAGTTCAAACCATTTACTTGATTTAAGTTATCTATAATATTTTATGATCTCATTATGTTACGCATTCTTATTTTTTATACGCTGATAATTGCATGCAGCAAACTAAAAAAAGTAATTTACTTAACTTTTAGTCGCAGCATAAAGGCACTTTGTGAATGCACGATAATGAACTCATAACAATAAAACATCAGAGCTAATGCATGAAACGCCGACTTTAACTGCTGTATAGCTTCAGTTATATAGTTTTCTTCTTTAGAGAGTTTTTTTTTTGTGCAAAAGAGCACCAAATATATTACATATCACAAACAAATTACAGTTTTCTTTTAGTTTTGGACTATCAATCCTATCTCGATTATCCTCGCATAAATTTTGCTGGAATTATTGAAGCTGATGTCTCAACCATGCAGAATTTTATGGATAATTACGAAGCTAGTGTTGATCCTTTGCTCCGACCGCATAATCTTTCTTCAAATCCGAAAGGTAGTGGAGTATGGCGCTTAAGAAAAGCACATGTCACAAGTGCATTCATTAAAAAACGTCAAGAAAAAATATGTTCAATAAATGACAATATGGATAAAGTTGTACATGCAGTTGTAAAAGGTGTGTTTATGTATATTTTGTTTGAAGAATGATGATAAGAGGTAGATGTTGAGTTAGGAAAAGGAAAAAAGTATTTTGTCGGACATGTTTTTATTGAGAAATACAGCTACTTTTTACTGAGATTTTTATAAATTACAAAAACCTTCGTGTTAAGAGAAGAAAGTAGATGGTAATAAAAAAAAACATGAATTAGTAAAAAATAACATGAATTATGTTAATTTTTTTGTTTTTAATACAATTCAGTCATTAAAACCGTTTCTCATAGCTAATAGATGTTTTCAATGTTGTTCTAGACACTTCTCTGAGAGCAAGCGCTAAACTTGTTGATTTTGATGTTGAAATGCAAACCGTCCGTACGATATATGGTTGGACAATTGAAGTGGAAAACTTCTTTAAAGGCGATTTTCAACCCGTTCCTTTTCAGTATATTTGGAATAAAAACAAAGACAGAGCTTACAGCGAATATGGAGCTGTTTCTCAAAGCATTCTTAATAATGTTCAATTCGGTTATAGAGCTGATGAGTCCGAAATTGTGAAATTCTTTAAGAGAAATGTTGATAATGATAAAATTAAACTGTCGATACATTTCAATATTGATCGGTACTCTACTGATTCAAGGAGAAGTGATTTCAACACAGCAAGGATTGTTGGTTCTATCGGCATATCTGGTCCCAGATCTCCGCCCTATTTTACTCTAGGTCGAATTTTGGAACCTGTCAACGATAAGCGTTTTTGGTATTTGCCATTTGTTCAAAGATCTAACCGCATTCTGCTAGATATTGGAAACAGCTTTCAGATAGAAGCTAATGGAAAAGTCTCAAAAAATGTAGGCCAACTTCGCTTAGGATTTTTAAAATTTGGCGATTCAGAACCGGATTGTCATAACGTTGAAAATGAAAGTGATGAATGGAGTCCTCAAAATAATGATTATGAAGTGACTTCTGGAATAATGGATATGTTGATAAATAAAGAAATTGATGTGTTCATAAAACGCCTGGTTTTAATGGAGGTTAGTCACAATTTACGATAATAACCTTAAAGAAAATATCAACTTCTGAAAAGTTTGTTACCAATGCAAAATTTAGTAGCTGAAAAGTTGCTGTGATGGTAAATGAAATTGTCATAATCGGATTTATATTTTCCAATATGAAATCCCTTTATACTTAAAAGAACGCCGATGATAAAGCATCTATTTCACGTAGGGATGAATGATGTAGAAATCAGCTGTCTTCTAATTTTTTGCTGTATAATATAATTATTATACGCACAAGCACTACTGCAACAAATGTATTTAGAAAAAGTGAAGAATGATATTTTTAGACCGTGTTTTCTTAAGACCGGAACGAAGTCAAACCAGAATGAAAATCAAAATTTGTTGCACGTTTGCATGGGACCGGCACGAAAAATCCTTAATTGCGTAATGCCTTCTTTGCAGGCTAGTTTTACACTTGCTAGCCATTTTTTGTGATTTGCTTTTGTGTGCATGCTTTGTTGCCATTTCAAATCGGTCTGAACGTTAATTTGAGTTTACTTTGATGCCGGTTTCAATTCACACCGTTCTGAACTCAGTCGGATCGGTTCAGCAGGCGGTACAACTTCAGACCGCTCTTAGTCATTTTCGTACCGGCCCCATGTAAACATTTACTATAAATTATAAGATAACCGACACTAGCTAATGCCTGTTTGAATTCGTTCCGATCTCATGTAAACAGGGCCTTAGTTACTGTTTCAATCAAACTTCCAAGAAAATTTTATCTTTCCCATGCCATTAATTTATTTAAAGGCAGTTTTTCATGCATGCTAACGTGTTAGGTTTTTTGACTGAATCAGTCAACATCTACACCAGCAGGCAATATTTCTTTTCAGGACGCTACTGACTGGGATGATCAACATCTACAAACATGTATATAATAATGCTCCCGGGTACAAACCATTCACTTTCACGTATTTATGCCAATTTTCTGTATATCTTTAGCTAAATTCTCGAAAACAATGTTCGAAAATCGTTTTGGCTGAAGAAAAAGACGGCATTGCCCTACATCCATTCACAAATTGGGCTGTTCGCACTGATTCAGAAGAAACATCTACCGTACAGTTATTGTTAACACGGTATGGAGAAGTGGTGTGTGATAAAGATCTTATTTCTGTTAAAAAAGATGATAGCTACACTGGTACGAAATTTCTTCCCAGAAAGCCACCTATTAATGACCCGTCTGTTGAATGCCTTGAAGATCAAAAACTGAAAGTCTCGTTTCAAATACCTAAAGGAGTTAAAAACCCCAGGCCCTTCATTGATGGACAAATTTATACATTCCAGTACTACTTCACAGGAAATAAATTTAATACGAAAAAAGATATTTACAAATCTTTAAATTCCATGATAGCTTTGTTTGTCTACAGTGAATATCCAATACCAACAAAACCTTGTTGGCTTAGACATGTAAAGCCCATATTTCAACAATATGCAAAACTATATCCAGTGATGAAAACACACTTCTTTGATTTGGCTAACTATGATGAAGTAGTTTCAAACAAAAGAGGAATAATAAGATCCATGTCACTAAACGAAGACGATCCAAATTACATGCCTGTGACAAGAGATTTGTCTAAACCTAAAAAAGACATGATTTTAAAATGGCTGGCGGAGGATAAACCGTGTTATGGTGCAATAAACTTTGCAGTGAACGTCCAAATGCTGGAGGAACTTCTACAAACAGCACTAAAGTTAGAACACTCTACAATCCCACCTTATTTAAATGGATATTTCTCCCTAAAGAAAAGCCACAACACACAAGTGAAGGCAATGATGAAAAGTATTTTGATATCTGAGATGCATCATTTGGCTATTGTAGCAAACATTATTAATGCTATTGGTGGTCATCCAGACTTGCTGGCACCAGATTTTGTGCCATCATATCCAAGCTATCTACCCGGCGGATGTCATCCCGACCATAAAATATCAATAAACAAAATGTCCACGCTTCAAATCCGAGATGCTTATATGGTAATCGAACAACCAGCAAGGGAACTGAAAGAGGGAGGATTAATGAAGACAATTAATAAAATTATTAAAGATAAACAAATATCTCGAGAGTCAAACAAGCCTTCATCTAAAAAAAACAAATCATGTACAAAAAAATCTGAAAGCTGTCCCAATGAAGAAGAAACAAGTCATTATTTGTATGCAGAAGGTATTTTTTATCATCCCTATTCACACTTAATTATAGAAAAAAGTGATGGTAAAGAGATCTATGCAAAAGTTTGTACTTTATAATCAGCTATAATATTTTAACAGCACTGAACTTAAAAAATTTAAAAAGTTTCTCGGATGATTTATAGATAAATTAGCTTGTAAAGAAATAGAAGACATCTTTGTTACTACCTTTGGAGATATTAATGGCATCATAGAAAACCATGACACTATTGGCCAACTGTACGCAAAAATCCTCATCTTACTTTCGAAATTGGAATGCGATGAGATGATCACATATCATACAAATGTCCCACAAGTAGAGGTACGCGACGAAGTTTTCAAAGTAGACAGTTACATAAGTGCAGTCAGAGCCATAGAAAAGATTGTAACTGAAGGTGAAGGAGCGTCCGCATGTAATCCCCTGGATGACAGTACAGAGTTATCTCATTACTACAAATTTGGATCAATGGTGAACAGACGTCATATTGAGACGTTCAAACAGGTAGTTAAGTCATTTGTTTTTAGCAAAAGCCACTTGTCAAATAAAATTGTATTATGAAACATTGCACTGTCTAATTATGTTTAAACAATCTAATATAATTACAATTTTTTCTTCCTGCAGGGAAGTAGGACCATTAATGTTGGTTAAGTTTGTGATCGTTTGGGGCATGTGAGTCATGGGAGAAACGTACGAGCGAAAGTTTATATGTTTTACAGTGTAATGCATGTAACTGGATTATGGTGTTGATTGACCTTGTTAGTCTTAACAAGATTATATTTGAGGCCATATAGTTTTGCCTGTTCCATATTTTACTTCATCTGGGCTTGCTTCGTGTAATAAAGAAATTTTTAGTCGATTGTTGGGTCTCTCTGTAGAACTGATTTGGTAGAAAGTGTGGTGCAGACAGGGTTGAGCATCGCTTTCGTTTTCGTTAAAGCTAATTCTTTAGTTTACCGAAGACTTTGACTTATATGCATGTCATAGCACTAATAGCACTATATAGTCTTATTGATTGTATTTCGAAGAAATCAATGTATGGCATTGCACGTTCAGTTTCATATGTTGAATGCAGTATGGGATTTAAAAAATTGTTCAAGATTTCACATCTTTGTTTAACTTTAAAAAACACGGAGTAAACTTTCACTTGTCTAAATACTTGGCTAAACGTTTCCATTTTATTATAGTATTGTACTTTATGTTAAAAGTGCAGACCCACACGAGTTCAATGTTTTCCTGGCAATGTTACATATTCTTTATAAATTTTTCGTACTCATTCATCATTAAGGTTAGCCTTCTGATGTATTAAAATATTAATTATGAAGTCAGATGGCGTACAAATCTCAAATATTTATTGCTAATAACTATAATAACTAATCATATATGATAAAAAATCGTAATTTACTTCTTTTGTTAGGTAATATTTCCAATATCATGCACAGTAGCGAGGTCAGCCCAGCTTTTTACTACCGTTATGCAAATATTTTAGTGTACACAGACCGTAAGAACAATAGAGTTCTATAAAAAATAATAATGGTAATTCTTTAAAATTTTTATATTGGGAGTAGATCTGCAGGCTGGCTACGCTACTGATCATGTACTGTCATGAAACAATATCTTGTTATAATACATTTGTTGTAGGAAAATAAAGTAGAGCCTACGAATCAAGATATCAAAGATATAGAGGTAAAATTGTTTTAATCTCTGCGTGGGCGCATTGATTAGTTTGAGATTGATAGCTGGATTGTTGTTACAATGTAATTCAATTAAAGCCAAAAGGTTACGATTGCCAGAATTTTGTTAGTTATGCTCATTCTCTTGTCTTCAGTTTCTCTGTTTTATGAATTTTGTTTCTCTTTTATTGAAGCATTGCAGCGGAACATTTGCATTTACTGGAAGATATTTGCCATTTAATGAAGATGGTGTCTGGCCAATGGTTTCAGATCCAAAGATGGAAATGTACCAGGAAGGGAGCAAAGCAAGATATCTGGCAATGCAGTTTAACAACACCTATTTTGAGCTTCTCAAGAATATACAACATGTGTTTGATGCGACTAACTACACGGATACATTTCGCGATTCATTTGGAATAATGAAACAACTACTTATTATTGGTGATAGACTTGTGCAGGTTGCTCTCAAAGATGGTGGTGATCCAAATATTGGTCCGAACGCTGGACCAATTTATCCTTCATATCCTTGAGACACTCTATGCTTCAAAAGCGTCTATAAGTCCTTTCTAATTTTCTGTTATTCTTTGATAGATTACTTTAAACATATTTTTGGGGAGAAATGAGATTAATGTGATTGTTACTATATATTTTGATTATTAAACCATCTAAATGTTAATATCTGTTAATCTGCTGCACTCTACGGATAAATAGGTCTTTTGTCAACCTAAACAAAGACCTACATTTAAGCTAGATCGCTAAAAATCATAATGCTCACTAAGCCTTTTTTAAAAATTGCCTTAGTCGGCAGACATTCAGGCCAACTGGGCTGAAACTAAGCTCGGGCTGAAATTGCTACATGTAAACGGTCTTTAATACCAATTATATTTTTCTATCGCCCTCTGACCAAGGACGAAACAAAATTTAGAAATCAACAAGACTTACTTAGGTTGATGTTTGATTTTGATTGTGCGAGTCATTGGCCAACAGAAATAAAAGGAGTCATTTGTGTCCACTTCATTGTGTGGTGTTCCTACGCCCATTTTTGGTACGAGCATTCTCTGGTTCTCATTTTCATTTCAATGGCAGATCCAGAGCCAATCAGAATACATTACTGAAAATATATTTCCATTTCAAAATACTTTGGAGCGAATCCTATTGGGAGTATTTCAGTCTTAAATATTCTTTAAATTTTTTTACCAACAGCTTTGTTCAAAAACTTTTGAATTTCAAATAAGCTTCTAGAATTTGTTTCGTTCTACTCTAGATCTGCCACTGTTTCGGATTTTGCACTTTCTAATATATTTCTTGTTACTTCTTTGCTCCAGATTAATAACACTGCAAATAACTCACAGAATCCTCATTTCAATTCAGGACAGTCTCGTTTTATTACTGAATTCAGCCAATTATTTGTAGTTTGAAAACAAGGTATTTTCTGTGACATGATTTCCGTGCGTCTGTCCTGTTGCAGGTCACCTCTTCTGACCGTACTATAATGCTTTAATTCTACTTTCTCTCTATTGAAAATTAGATGGCAAGTAGAGTATCAAAACAAATGAAAGCATTTGCAAATAAAATACTGATTATACAAATTAACAATCAATAGATAGCAAATATAGAAGCCAATCAAATTAATTATTGTTTACTATGCAAGCAATCTCTGCTGTGATTGGTCAACTACCTGCAGATAAATCTCAATATCTTCAATTATGACCTGATATCTACAGATAATAGCAGTGACCTCAAAGGATAATATTTCTTTGTATAATACTTCTACAATTATTGACGATATTAAAGCCAACGTTCTTCAGCAAAAAGCACCGAGAAAATGCTAAAAAAGCGACGAAGCTAGTTTTGAGCATATTTACAGCATATTTAAACGAGAAGGACTTGAAAAAACGTTTAGTTTCAGCGACAAATTAGCGACTTGCACGGCTTTCGGTAGTTTGCTAATTCTGTTTTTTATTTAACAAAAATTAACGGATTCTTCTGAAGAAGAAGCCGATTATGATATTATTATCAATAACAATGAGGTACCACCTTTCATGTTTGAGCCTTTGGCCAACGCGCGAAGTGGTCATAATGATGACAATTCTTCGTCATCAGAAAGCGAAGATGAATACATTCACAGAATTGGAAATGTTGAATGGTTAGTTGCATTTTATTAATGCTTCATTGTTTTTTCCAAAGTAAAAAGAATGTTTTTATCTTTTAGGTGCGAGTGTGGCTTTTGTGTGGTCATGAGTGCAGGACGGGAAAGTATATGTTGCCAAGAGGTAAACAATACTGACCCTCAGATACATGGCGATCATATTTACATCACACAAGAGGAAGAGTTTGCCACAGTGTGTACAAAAGAAGCTCTCATAAAAACAGCTATTGTCGTGTACCCACATGACATTAAACCTTTGCCTGAGAGTGACGAAAACGAGTAAATATTACCTTTAAGTATAATTACATGTATGTCGACAAGTGTATATTGCCGATAATTATCTTAGACAAAATTTTGTATCTTTCAAAGAGCATTACGCTACACGGCGTACAGACATTGGACGGCTTGGGTGCATGGCAGGTTGGGAAAAAAGTACCAACTACCCATAACTTCTTGTGCTGTGGACAAAATTCGGAATTCATTTCCTTCGCCTTCTGGAGAATACAAAGGATTTTAATATGCTCAACACTACTGAATGGTAGGGCTTATGGCGTATGACAAAGTCTGTTCACTTTTAATTATGTTTATTTCATGTGGGACGTTATTTCTATTATCTTTTTATTTATAAAAGAGAGATTTATGTTTCTTAATGGCTTCAGCTTTGCTGATTTTTGATTTGTGCCGAGTCAATGGGACAGGTATTTCTTTCACTCCAGCGACATCAAGAGCTTTAGACAGTGTTGGATTAATGCGTCTTCAGCACAAAACTTCTTTCATCAAGTCCTTAACATATACTGAAAAGCAAATCATTATTTATGTTGGCTTTGCATTGCACTTTGAGAAAAGGTAAGTTTATTTTTCTGTGCTAACCATAAGTGCTGCCAACTTTTATTGGTTTGATGACCACTTGTCCTTCTTTTCACTTTGAATAAGCCACTCTCTAAATCAATGCTTCTTCGTTTTGCCCACCATTCTTCGTTTTATAAGCTTTATAAACATTCTCATTGAAATGAAGAGCGGCAATAAACAATCTACAAATGAATGTTAAGTTTATGTTTACAACTATTGCAACTTATTGCTTTTGCAATGATGACTTTTTTAAGTAATCATACACTAGTCATAATTATATTACCTTGCTTCCATTGATCTGTAAAAAAATGAGTATGTTTTGGTGCAAAAAGAATTACCACTCGGTGAAAACCTTCGATGGATGAAGTCTGCTTCTGATAACTGAGTTTTCCAATATCTCTCATGAGATACTTGGACTCAACAATCGAAGACAGCTCAACAAAAGATTTTGATTATTGATTTCGACATGCCTTAATAATCTCCAAACCCTGAAACTCTAAATCTTTAAGTGTAGAAGCTCACTGTCCGGTATTGATCCCTCATATGCTGTCCAAAACTTTTCCCATAATTCCAATTCCGCATCTAATTCTAAGGGATTAGGAAGATCGTCTTTGTAAAAATCTGAAAACAAACGAGAATTGTCTTTCCAATTTTTGTTGTTTGGTGGAAGACTATTAATTAGCGAAATCATTTTAGATGAAACAATGCTGGAGCCGCAATAAACGTTGATTTGACTAAAGTGAAATCTTGCCTGAAGATCAGAGTTTAAGTGGTCTAGAAAAGGAATAGTGAGAGCCTTTTTGTAATGATCTGAAGCGCTAGAAGATGGGCGATTCTCATTGTGCACTTGTCTGCCAGCCTTTTGTCGGCATTTTTTCATCGACATCTACCCTTTCAACTAAAGAAACTGCTTCACTATACCATATACCATGATTTAAATCAACATCATTCCTCAATAAAATTCTCAAATTTTTCAGTGACTCAATTAAATGCATTTTATCCATAACATCACAGGTTTTAGCTTGTAATAACTGAGTAACGGGAAGTGTTAAATCTAAAATATTTCTAATAATGACATGGCTAACAATAATCTCAACGTGGAAATCAATGCCAGGAAGGAAGAAGCTTTAGAAGATGTTTCTGGATTACACACATGACCAGCATTATGGCTCATTTCAGTTAAAGTATGAAAAATTGGAAGGAATAACTCTTGAAATGCATAAAAGCCATCTATTCTCTTAATCTATCGAGTTCGACAAACATCCTTTAATTTTGATTTACCTAAATGTTGGCAATAGTCTTCAACGGCTTTTGAAAGTAACATTTGCCGCCCATCAGAGAGATTGAAAAAGTAAGAAAGTTCTTTAATTTGACTAAAAACATTTCTGACAAATGGTACAGAACATGAATTACATGTTGCAAGATTTAACCTATGGCTGTAACAGTGAGTGTAGAATGCTTTAAAGTTCAAACGAAAAATGCGTGCAGAAAGACCATGGATATGCCATGAAACAGTGCCAGCTCCATCATATCCCTGACCTCTGCAATCCTCAATGCTTAATTTTAGTTCTGTTAATGCACTGTGAATTAATTTCTCAAGAATTTTCCCTGATAAACCCCATTTGCAACGCCAAAACCTCACAAAATCTTTTTAACATTCCTATTGCTATCTAGAGAACGAATAACAGGAGAAAGCTGCTCTTTGTTTACAGAATCTGCTGCTTCATCAGCAATAATACTAAAAAAATTATTCATTTTTATTTCACTAACTATTTTTTCAGTTATAAATTGTCCACAAGCAGCAATCAGATCATTTTGAGTAGTCCTTGAAATATAGGAAGCATTCTTTGGACAGTTTTTCAAATGATCAGCTAAAACTGTGTCACCAGCCCCAACACGAAAATTTAACAATTCAACATAGTTACCAACACCACCTTTTGAGTAAGAACCAACCTCCCGATGATAAGAAGAATCATCACGGTGCACTCTTAATACTAACCCAAGTCTGCCATAAAGTTTAATTGTGTCAATTATTGGTACAAGTTTTTCTCTATTTTGCCTGATGACTTGCTTTTTGTGCTCAGCCATCAACACCTCAATCTGCTGTCCTTCTCCTGTTGCTTGACCAGTTGAAGACAAATATTTATTATGTGTGCTTTCGTGCAAACCTGCTCTTGTGAGAGCCTTAGAACTCAAACCAATATGGAGTTTGAAGCAAACTTAGGCATCAGGCCAAAAAGTCATTGGTTCACTAAAAAGTTTTTTAATTTTTGTATTTTTATTCGGAAACTGATCATCAAATAAAACACAAGGCAAACAAAAAGCACCATCCAAAGAAGGGGAGTAACACAACCAAGAATAATCTTCCAACCACGATTGTAGAAAACATCGACCATCATCTGATTTAGGAAATGGGGAGGATCTAACCAGTTTAAAAACATCGTTAAATAAGCTGGAACTTTTGAGAATCATTCATATTTCTGGCTTTTTCTCAAAAATATCTCACATCATTTGGATATTGAAACTCAACTGAAAATGATTACAAAAGTTCTTGATTTGGTTTATGACTTAAACCAAGACTGGTGATGGTAGGCACCTGTTGTGTTGGCTCTGAAATTCAAAATTTCTCAGGGGAGAATGCCTCAGACCCCCCCCCCAGGTGCGGAGCGCCTCCGACG